AAAAAAATTTGTATATACAATCAAGTGATTATTAATAAACAATTGTGTAATATTTTCAGGATACACAAAAAGTGAAATAATTACACATAAGTTTGCTGAAATATTGAAGATTATATTAACTTTATGACAATATTATAATGTAAGCTCATTTTGTAAGGTTAATGGCAGATTACAGTAACATGTTCATTAAAATGTGTAAGCTTGTAACCTACCCATAAACTTACTGCAATGTTTGGTGATATGAGGGATCTATTTTATGTCGATGTTGCAATAAAAATAAATAAGTTTTCACTTTCTTTAATGTGTATTTTAATTACAATCATCTTTTATATTGTTAGGAATAGCCTAAATAAAATATAATAGCCTAAATAAAAATAATATTAATTTGATATTCTTTTGGCTGATACTTGACATAAATTTGTTCAATATTTAGTCAAAATGACATCAAATTAATATCATTTTGATTCTTATATTTTACTTGGAAAGCTATAATGTAATAGAGATCGTACTGAAATTTAAAAAAAATTAAACATGAAAATCTATTGCACATCCATAGTAGATGTACAATGGACGTCCATAATGGATGTTATATGGATATCCATCATCGATGAATTGTGGGTGTTTATTAGAGATTCACTTGTTGTTCACTGTGGAGATAGATATCTGGTGGAGCTATGGATGATCTATGGATGTCTAATGGAGGTTTTGTTCTGTGTGGGATAATTATACATGATTATATATAAGTAACATATATTAACATGTATGGACAAATTATATTTCATACATAATTATATATAATAATATAAAATTATACATAATTTTACATAATTATGTATAAAAATGTTTTCATTGGATCACACACTGTTTATATATGATGAAAGTAAGATATTCTACACAAGTATTGAGCCACACAGTAGCAAATTTCATGAACGTTATACTGACGTTAAATAAAGATAAAATGCAATAATTAAAAAATTATGGTAATTATGTTTATTAAAATTGACGTATACAACTGTTTAAGTATTTAAATGTATTTTTCCATATCCACCTAGTACTGTGATAACGTCAGAAGTCATTTTATTTTTCAATAATTTATTTGACTCCTTCAATAGAAAAAAAGTTAAAATATATTCCAATATGATTACTTCATCAAATAATCATTAATCATTTTGGCAAAACGCTGTTCGCACACTACGTAAAATGGACTTTGTGGAAAACAAAACTCAAAGATTCATTCGGCATAAGTCAAAGTGTCTTGTAAATTGGATATGGACTATTCAACCCTTATAGAAATATCATACTAAGAATCATTGATAATTACTTATTTTCAGTATTAAAAATACTGGATAATAAGTAATTATCAATGATTCTTAGTATGATATTTCTATAAAGGAAGCCAAATATCTTTGAAATATTCTTTAAAAATATGATTTTTCTTCATTAAATTTACGATACATCAATCAAGATCCAATCAAAAATTATTGTAATCAAATACAAGATCACGGACATAGAAATAATAACCCGTCTCCTTACCAATTTTGTGCTGCATTTAAAACACTTTTAACAATTAATTTTACATCAAAGCATTCCATTTCTACAAATTGCAAAGAAGATTATGAAGGCAAATCATTATCACTCGGAAGAATTATTTCAATAGCTACAAGTATTAAATTGAGTGAGGAACAAAATGAAGAAACTGATTGTACAGAAACTTCAATACCGTTACCAATAATTTCCGATACATTTATCGATACAGAAAAAATAATTGATATTATAATAGATAAAATTGAGATAAAATGTACACAGTGTATACAATGCCTTCAAAATAAAAATACTTTGAACATTATACAACACGCACTACAAATTGCAAAATTGCAATTAATTTTTGCCATGAAGTAAAAGTCAAAGAGAAGTTGAAGAGTGTTTTATATTCAGAAGCATTTGTAAAAATGTTAATACATTGTGCAACAAGATTCTTTAATAAATGAAACTGCACAACAATTTAGCAACTAATGGTGCAAATATGTCAATGGAATATTAAATGGAACATTGGATAATAGCAGTAAAAATAATTATATTTACAATAAAACTAAAAGAATGTCAACAAAATTTAAAAAGGAAAAATTAAAAGTAAAAAGAATAAATACTTTAAAAATATGAAAGCATGGATTATTTATCGACAATTTGTAAATATTTTATACATTTTTTTAATTACATCTTTTATATGTTATTTTACTTTTTCATATGTATCATTGTCAGTATGTTGTCAAGGAGATCCTGAAGTACATATTCACTGTTGCTGAAAGCAACAAGAAGACAGGGCAATGGATAAAGGCATCTTATACGCTCATCAAAGCGTTCATTAAAGAAACTTGAAAACTTTATAGATGACTTATTATATAAGCTTCATAAGCTACCTGATCAGTAATTATAATAATAATAATATCGGTAATTATAATAATAATAGTTTTAAACATATAAAGGTTCAAACATATAACATTATATAAAAATTAATGTATTTTTTCTTTATAGGTCTTCAAAACTTGTCTTCTAGCAACTCTAAGAACCATATTACAACACATGATGTCAACCACTTATGTTATTAAAGTTATCAAGTTAAAATATTAACTACTCACACAGCAAAGGTGTCCAAAATATATCACAGGGATATTCTAAAAATATATTTAGGATATGCAATATCTTTAAGATATCCCTATGGCATATTTGGGACATTTATACTGTGTGGGTATATTTTGCATTCTTGTACATATTAAAAAATATATAGTAAGAATTTAACTTCTAATAGTATTTCCTTCTTTTTACTTTTATTACTTTAATATTTATTTATTATTTATTTATTATATACTCTAAACCACCTAGATAGAAATGCGTGATAATCAAGTTTTATCACAATGTAACTTTATACTATGACTTCAATTTGATACTTTTTTGAAGACTCATTACATGATTTTATAACATGAGTACGAGATGCGCACAAATGATGTATATGATATGTTGAAAGTTCTTGACATGATGTTGATTATTATTATTAAATGAGGTATTTTTGTGACATCATGACATGAACTATATCTGAGCTACATATGAGCCTGCATCAGTGTGTACTCTTGTCCTCATATTTAGAAGATATATGAGTACAACATGAGCTCAGAATAAACACATTTTTCTATCTGGATAGTTACGAAACATATACATGTCGCTGTTTGTCGTCGGTGTGACAGTTTTCCTAACCTTAATAGTGATTAGAAAAGTTGTTTCGTGCCGATTTATTTTTTCGTGCAGAGTATTTTCTCATCGATATTGGAGGTGGTGTGTAAACTGAATAATTACTTATATAAATTTAAGAAATAAACAATTAAATAAGCTACCAAATTAAACTAAGTAAGCTATCAAAGTAAACAAGCAAATAAGCTATCAAATATAGATCTTTTATTAGCCAAAAATAAACCAGTCAAAATATGTTTCTACAATTGTATTAGTACCAAAAAATATATAACTACACAAGTCTATCAGTAGTTCGTCCTTCAAAAGTTTCTTTTTATTTTTACATTTACAATGCTATCATAAAAAAATGTCTTTACGTACAGTTGCTATTAAATCCATTTACAACTGACTCCAGCACGTTTATTTTTAGAAGTGCGTGACTGAATTATTTTTATCTGATAAAATACACACACATACACACACAGTATTACACAAAAAACATACGTAACACAGATTTCGTAATTATTAAATACATACTTTTATTACACGATTAACACTTGAACAAAATTTGTATATTATACTACGTTCCCATATATTCCAGACTTTTCCAAAACTTCTGATTCATGCTCGTTTCTACCAACTTCGATTAACTTAACTGACTGGTTATTCCACCGGAATTGACCAATCGCATCTGTCAATTTCCATACAGCACAGAACGTTGAAAAAACGTTAATGAAACATTGCAGCATTGAAAATAGAAGTGCGGATGTTTTTTCTACATGGAATTTATGTTGATTTTTCAACATTGATTACAAGATATAGCAATATTATAAATATATATGGAACAAAAGCTACAATATTTTGCAACGTTGCAATATTCGAGGAGCATTAAAAAATATATTGGCCTGATTTACATCGTGCACTTAATACGCGTATTAAATAGTAACTTTCTATTAGATAATCTTAATATCGACAATGCATATCAACAGCGACGCATTCTATCAATACAATATGATTGTTTTGTTGATGAGTATTATACCAGCTTAATATGCCGTTGTTTATATATATCGTCGATATTAAGATTATCTAATAGAAAATTACTATTTAGTATGCTTATCAAGTGCACGATGTAAACCAAGCCATTATCGATAATATTAACGAACAATCTTTTATTATATAATAATAATAAAATAAATTATTCTTCACTTTTATTTTATATTATTATATATATATTATTTATAATATATTAAAATGTACCATCCTACATAGCACCGAACATTGGGCGCATTCAGTAGAAAAAGCGCTCAGTGAGCAATCAACGATTATTGGTTCTTGCTATTAGATCCCTAAATCTAGACCAATTACATTGACAAATTACTCAACTGTTGTGCAACTGTTGAGTCTGCTGAATGCAGCCATTAACATAAGATTATAGGGAGCTTACAACCTTACCAAGGCTGCGTTCCTTTTGGGCGCACACGCGCTTTAAGCGCTTATAAGCGTCACTCTATCTTTCTTCCGCATCTAATAAGATAGAGATAGAGATAAAGATAGAATGGCGCTTACGCGCTTACAGCGCGTGAGCGCCCAAAAGGAACGCAATCCAAGGGTGCGTCTTTTGGGTGCGTTCCGAATTGTACATCAAACACATAG